ATAAAGGGCAGTGGACAAATGTCATAAAGTGATGTGGCTATAGAGGAGAGTAGATAAATGTCATAAAGTGATGTGGCTATAGAGGGCAGTAGATAGATGTCATAAAGTGATGTGGCTATAGAGGGCAGTAGACAAATGTCATAAAGTGATGTGGCTATAGAGGGCAGTAGACAAATGTCATAAAGTGATGTGGCTATAGAGGGCAGTGGACAAATGTCATAAAGTGATGTGGCTATAGAGGAGAGTAGATAAATGTCATAAAGTAATGTGACTATAGAGGGCAGTAGACACATGTCATAAAGTGATGTGGCTATAAAGGGCAGTGGACAAATGTCATAAAGTGATGTGGCTATAGAGGGCAGTAGACAAATGTCATAAAGTGATGTGGCTATAGAGGGCAGTGGATAAATGTCATAAAGTGATGTGGCTATAGAGGAGAGTAGATAAATGTCATAAAGTGATGTGGCTATAAAGGGCAGTGGACAAATGTCATAAAGTGATGTGGCTATAGAGGAGAGTAGATAAATGTCATAAAGTAATGTGACTATAGAGGGCACTAGACAAATGTCATAAAGTGATGTGGCTATAGAGGGCAGTGGATAAATGTCATAAAGTGATGTGGCTATAGAGGACAACATTTTTCAATATTTTCAGATCATTATTACATGTATATGGAAGCAACTGGAAACACAATTTATGACTCAACTAAACTTGCATTAGCACAGCAATTCAAGAGTACTACAGATGGATCATGCAAGGTGAGTCAATCAAAATGATACATTAAAAGAACAGAATTCAAGGTAGTGTTATTAAAAATGACTACTGGATTGACATTTCAGCAAATTGTATAAGGAGAACTCAAAAATTGAGGCGAATTTAATAGGAAATCAAAGAAAGCTTAGAAAGAACTCCCGTGTGCTGAGAGTATTGAAGACACATTAAAAATTAATTCAAATTTACTTGTACCTGAGATATTGATGGAAAAACTGAAAACTAATTATGTAAATCAGGTAACTCATATGAACAGAAAAGAACAAAAAAATTATGAATTATTATGCTAATTAGAGAATTAATATGAACAAATTTTAACCCAAAATTAATAATGCCTGGCTATTGTCCTAGAGCATTTATGTACCAAATTTTATTCAAATGTGATGATCAGTAATTAAGATATCAGTGTTAATTAATTATGTTAATTAGGTGATTAATAAGCATAAATATTTACAAAAAACTAATTGGGTCATTGCATAGTTTTAGATTCATTGAAATGTGATGATGAGTACTCTTTAAAAGTTTCATTAAAATCCAATTCATGGTTCTTTATATATCAGTGGAACATTCATGGAAAAAAAAACTAATTATGCAAATTAGGTAATTAATATCCACAATTATTTACCCTAAAACTAATCATGTGTCCACATAGTCCTAGAAGATCTATGTATCAAGTCCCATTGAAATACATGTATGATGATTATTACTTGAAATATCAAAAGCTGAAAATTAATTAATTATGCAAATTAGGTAATTAATATGCACAAATATTTAACTAATCAGGGGTTTGCACAGTCCTTAAGTAACTATGTACCAAGTTTCATTGAAATGTAATGATTACTACTTGAAATATCAAAAGCTGAAAATTAATTAATTATGAAAATTAGGTAATTAATATGTACTGATGCCTAAAAACTATCAGGTCTGTGCAGTGTCCTATGACATCTATGTACCAAGTTTCATTGAAATGTGATGATTGGTACTTGAGATATCAGTTGAAAAGCCGAAAATTGATTAATCATTATGCAAATTAGGTAATTAATATTGCACAGATTTTTACCGAAAAGGATCTATGTGCCAAGTTTCATCAAAATCCAATGAGTGGTTCTTTAGATATCAGTGGAACAATCATGGAACAGCTAAAAATCAGCTAATTATCATGCAAATTAGGTAATTAATATGCATGGATTTTTACCAAAACCTAACCAAATCTGCGCATTGGCCCAGAGCATCTATGCACCAAGTTTCATCAAAAATCAATGTATGGTTCTTGAGATATCAGTGGAACAGACAGACACACATACACACACACACTAACTGCAATGACTCCCATTGTGTGCTTCGCACTCGGGAGTCAAAAAGAGAAGCAACAAAATTATAATTTTTGTCTAAATTAAACCATTTCTATCTATTTTTTTATTAACGTATTGACTCTTATAAAGACAATAGTCACAAAGTACAAGAAAAAAAAATATAAAAACAATATACTAAATAACAAATACAATCACTAAATTACTG